TCTCTATTCTTAGCAAACTATAAATACTACTTTTAAATAAAATTTAAACTACTTTTAAATACCCCTTAACTAACTTATTAATTTATATAAGTAATAAATATAAATAGACTTATTAATAAAATCTAAAACATATTTAAATATGTTTATAAAAAGCTTACATAGGCTTAAGCTCTTTAATAAAAGTATGTAAACTAATTCTAAACCTTTGCCCCTACATATGCAGCTAGCAAGAAGGTCTAGCTAGACACTAGAAATATTTAAATAAACTAATAATTAAAAAAACTTAATTAAAAAAACCTTAGCTCTTTTATAGTAGCTTATATAGTCTTATTACACACTTACTAATTAATCTTACCTAATAGCATAAAGATACACCCTATGTTCTATGTATTATTACTGCGCTAAGCAGCTTTTAAATCTAACTATCTACTTAAATAGCTAAACCTGCTACCTAAACCTATTATTATAAATAATAAACTAAAATATGTTATAAAAGACATTAAATAAATCTAGTTTAATAAAAAAAAATATATCTATAAATACCTTATAAAATAGACTAGATATAATAAACTGTTATAAGAACTTATAAAAGCTTTATAAAAAAACTTTACAGTAACTTAATTTTACACTTAATACTTATCTAAACTAAATCTATACCTTAATAAAGACAACCTAATGCTAGAACTACTAATATAAAGAATTCTTTTTCTAATAAGAGGGGGGGTACTGTTATAGTATTCTCTCTAGATCCTAGACATAACTATATTAGACATGTACTAGAGTATTATTAGTGCACATTTAACATAAATACAACATAATATAGACATAAACTTAAGTATAAACTACCTTAACACTAACTAAACTTAAAATAGGCTTAATTTATACTTAAAGTGCTTAGACTTTTAAGCTAAGTATTTAATTACTAATTTCTTTTTAAACCTTCTTGTTCCTTACACAACGTCTTGTACCTACTATAATACCTCACGTAGTAATTAAACTAGACCTCCGTGAAGCTCTATAACCTTACTCGTGCACAATCGTGACACTAGTCCTAGACTAGTCTCTAACGCAAGTATATAGGGTTTAGAATGTATCTAGCTAAGCTTAATTCTGTATAAAAGGATTAGCACATTTATTACATAAGCTGCATGCTTTTTTACTATGTACACTTCTATTAGAGCATCCTCTATGCAGTAGGGACTAGAGATAAGACTGCTTACTATTAAGTTATAATAGTAAACCTAATTACTGCAGTAAATAAGAATAAATATATTAAGCTTTATACTAAACTTTAAAGTATAACTTTTTTATAAGCTTACTTTTACTATTTAATAGTAATTTAATAGCAGATAACACCTTACTTAGTATTGCTTACTAAGTAAAGTATAAAAAGCACTTAGTAATTAAAGTAGACATTGTAACAGCGTGTACTGCGTCACATGCTCTGCGGCATCAGCTCCCTTGCTTGCGCAACAAGTAGCACGCTAGTGCTACAAGTAGCGCCTTAGCAGGGGCACACATGTATATTAAACTCGCAGAGCAGCTCCTCTGCTCCTTAGTTTAATCTAGTTGAGTTACACCACCTCTTGCTTGTAGCTTGAGCATGCCGACTGTGACAGGCATTAATAACACTTACTTTTTTTTAATTACTTTTATAAAGGCTTTATAATATTATACTAATGCAGTAGAATAGATAAGCTTAAAGTTAAACTTATATAGTAAGCAACTTTATTTTTTACTAGCTATTCTTAGGTACATTCTCTAATTACTTTTAATACACCTTATATACGCTGCTAATAATACTGCAGTGCTATAGCACTTAACACTTATAATTCTTTATAATATTAGGCTTAATTAATCTTTAGTATCTTTTATACTAATAAGAATACTTTTAGTGCTACTTATTAGTATAATTTTATAGTCTATAAAAGTTCTACTTTTTTTATATTAAGTTTTAAAGTAATTATAGTTTAATTTATATTAAATACTTTATAACATTAAATGCTTAATAAGGTAGATATAATTAATTTTACCTAAGATAATAATATTATCTTTGCTAAAAATACTACTAAGTATCTTTATTATAACTCTTCTATATTAACTCTCTAAGGTTAAAAAAAGCAGTTAAACTTTTTTATATTATCTACTTTTTTTTTAAAAGTTATAAAGAGCTTCTTAAAGAAATAGTATACTGTTTAGCTTTTATTTAATTAATGTTTATAACTAATTTACTTTTATAACGTACTTCATAGGCGAGTTGCTCACACACCTAAGTCGCTTACTTTTGCCAAGACCCCACCCCAACAAACTCTATTATGGCCTATAACAACCCGCTCTAGCACTATATAGTATAGTACAGCCTAGAATATTATTTAGATACTACTTCTGCTTCTTGCTTACACATTTATGTGTTATGCCTAGTCTAATTACACTATCTGCAGCGCCTTTAGGATGGCTTACCTACTTTAGCTTACACCTGCTTTTTTACCTTCTTTCTATTACTGCGCGCTTTAAACTTCTTTAGAGCTATTAAGTGTAGGCTTTTTTAAATTATTAAAGTCTTTTCTGCTTTAATTTACTTTTTTTTATATAATTTATGTTATATAGTAGCCTTATTAGCTGCTTAAAGCTTAGTAATTTTTTATTACACTAACACTAGCTTATATATAATTATTACTACCCTTTTTAAGACTTTTTTAAACACCTTAACTATAAAAGTTAGTAAACTATTTATATACTTCTAAATTTTTATTTTTATAAGCATTAATTATAACTTAAGTTTTAAAGTATTACTTAGAGCTTACAACTACTAGAGCTTATTATATATAAGTAGTAGTAGTAATAAAGTGTGTAACTTTATATTAAGGCTTATTATAACTTATTATAAGTTAAAAGAAACTAATCTAGCGCTTTAAAACTTTTTTTAAATATTCCTAAAAGTAATTATAGCATTATAAGCTACTTTAAAGTATAGCAGAAACTTTATTTTTATAATATAAGTAATTTAGTTATGTATAAGGTTTTTAGCTTAGTGCTTATATACTTTTTTTTAAAAAAGTAAAACAACTTATATTAAGTAGCTATAAAAAGTGTAATAAGTAAAAAAGTATATAAATAGTAATAATTTTATTATTTTTATAGTATTACTAGAAATAAAGTAAGTTATAGCTTTTATAGCTATTAATAACTAGCAGATAGTAGCTGCTAATAGTACACTTTTTTATATATATGTTAAAGTGCTTTAACTAGTCTAAACTAAGCTAATTAGTAGTCTAGCTGCGCTTAGAGATTATAATAACTTAATTTTAAAGTAGATTTTTTTTATACTAGTTTAAAAAGTAGTTGCTACTCTAAAAAATAATAAAAAGTAAAATAGCCTACTTTTTAGCATTAATGCCTTAGATAGCTGTTGTTTACTTCTAGTTACCTAGCTAAACTGCTTTTAGCTATTTTTATCTCTCTAAACTTATAATAACTGCTTTAGTAGATATTTAGCTTATTATAAACTTTATTTTATTAAAGTTATACATGTTATTATCTTAGATGCTATACTTAGCTTTAATATTCTTTATAAAGTTAAACTAGCTTTAAATTACTATAAGATTTTTATAAAAAGCTTTTTTATAGTTATACTTATACTTAAACTTTACTTTAAGCTTTAAGTAACACTTAATAAACATATTAAGCTAGTTTATGCTAATATAGCTTATATTATACTTAGCGTGTAAAGAATTAGCTATATTAGCTATAGCTACTAGCTAAGGGGGAAATCCTTACGCATCTAGCTTAAGTATGTGCTAAATAATTACCTACTTTTTATTATTATCTAGCTTTTATAAGTTAGCTATATAATTAGCTTAAAAAAGTTATCTAGTGTGTTAGTTACTTATTATTTTTTAAAAAACTTTATAGATAGCTGCAGCGTGTTAGTTAAAAAGTGTTATGTTTTATTTAAAAGCTTAAAGTATAAGCTGCATCTAATGTTTTTTTAACATGTTTAAGTAGTGTTATTAAAAATGCATTAGTGTAAGAAGAGTAGTGTAGTAAGGTCTTAGCAAAAGTAAGCAACTTAGGTGTGTAAGCAACTCGCCTATAAAGTACGTTAATAGCTTTACTATATTTTTAAAAGTTGCACTAGCAGCACTAAAGTATATGCTTTACTTTATATACTTATAATAGCTATTCTAATGTAATAAGTTCTTCTTTATTAACAGATATAGATGTTGCTTAGTAAGAAAAAATTATTACTCTCTTAGTGTAAAAAGTAGACCTATGTTAGTAACTTTAAGATCTCTTATAAGAAAAAAGTTAGGCATTATTAAGCAAGGACTAGCAGTAGATAGGTAAATGTTACTTTTAATAGTGCTTTAATAGTGTTGCATTAGTGTTTAGCAGAAGTAAGACAGGTGCAGGACTAGTCCTAGACTTAATAATTATAAAAGGTTGTGTAATATTTAATTTAAAACTAGATAGGGAGCTTTTGTACACTAACTCTAGTTGTTCTTGGGCCGAGATGCACTAGTCACGACTTAAGCAGGGGGCATCGGAGTTCGTCGGGCTGGTGCAATGCCGAGCCTCTGATGGTGCACCTTTGGCGTTTTATCGCACCCCAACATTAGTTATAGAGCACACGGGATCTTGTTATAATATACGGAATCTGATGTCTTGATTGATCTTCTCAATACAAGGAAAATATGTAAGAGTTAAATATTCCGATGATAACCCATTCGTCCGGAAAATAAACTTGAACCCGTGAGAAAAACTTCCGTGTGCACTCATCACGAGCCATGGTGTTGAACACATGCTCAGACGCCACAGCGCGTAACCGGGCCATTTTCGGCCCGTCGGCCAGCCACATATATATGTGGCTTTTTCGGGCTGACAATACACTGAGTGACGGCTTTTGACACCGCTTTGGGGCGGTCTCGACCGCATTCTTTCCCTAGCGGTTTTTCTAGCCATCAACTTCATGCATCTGTAGCTTCTCAACTTCAAGAAAAATGGCAGATCAACAGTCTCCTTCTAAACGCCCTTATAGCGAATCGCCGCCACTACCTTCACCTTCGAAAGTCCGCCGGCTCGATGACACTCCCGCAAAATCAGCGCCAGTCACCCCTCCAGACAGTACGAAGAACGTCGAGTCAGACTCGTCGCCTCCGGGTCCGAAGCAGCAGCAGTCTAAAAGCGTGTCAAACTCTTCCCCAAAGTGTCCTGTCGTGGCTCGCCCCGTTGACTATACCGGAATGTCTCTGGAAGAACGATTGAAGTTCCACGACACTGTGCACGCTGCAGAAATACATCGAGCGCGCAATGAGCGATGGCAACGGATGGAAGAAAGGCGCAGCAAAATGTCAAGAGCTGAACAGGAACAATGGATGATCGACTTCCGGCAAAAAAATCGTAAGTCATTCAGAATCAGCACCCGGTCACTATAAAGCTGACAATGTGCGTAGAAATACCCGATCCAAAACCTGGTCCAAAACTTTGTTTTGAAGATGTGATCGAGAGCAATTATTATTCATCGGGTGAGGACAATGATGAAGAGTAGATATACTCAAGCAACATTATTGATTATTGGCATTCCATGTGCGCTCTCCAATGCCTCCCATACTAGATTAAAGTCATCTTTAATTAAACGCCATTGCTCTGCGCGCGTTGGTGTCTTTGCTATCTAATCACCCAAAATTTCATCGCATTCAATGAGGGACTCCAGCGTGCCTTCAGGGCCAAACATAGCGCTTTGCCGAGTGCCATCTTCTTCGATCCAGGTAATAACTTTGCTACCTTTTTCCCATTTTATCATACCGCCGAAGCCCAGCTTGTCATCTTGGGCCGTTCTAAAATATGCGATGACCGCCGGTGTCTTGTCGAGGAATTGGATCAGACAACGCCGAAGCGCGTCTTCTCCACTGCGGCACATCTCCGTCGAGAATGATCGACCTTTGGTCTATAATAGAATAGTTTAGATAGAGTTGACACGCTAAAAGGCATTTACTTCACTGTATATCTTAAGCCCGGATTCTCTGCTTCCAGACAAGAGACAGTGTATTCGAATTCGCCGCATGATACGGATCCGCCCCCCACTAGTTGGACGACGGTCTTCGGCGCGCTATCTACAAGGACACCGGACTCGTCGAACGCTAGCCGGTGTTTTCCAGCGTCGGCAAATCGAAATCGTCGTATATTCGCCGGCGCCAGCTTCTCTTCTACGGCTTCGGTAATGAGCACAGACCAAGCCGTGCAAAGTCCATGTTTGTTGTTATAGAGGTGGGCGAGATCTGACATTGTAGCGTCTTCGATTTTCTTCACAATCAAAGATCGCACCTCATCGGTCAGGCGATTTGCCTTCTTGATGCCGAACGTGACAAGTGTCTCCGCCGGCATTTCGCTATATCGCAGTAGCTGGACATAGTAACCGAAGCTGGAGTAGACCGACTTCGGCCACAACGTATGATATCGTTCTCGTGCGACTTCGAATCGTTCGGACGGCATCTTGACGCTGTGTTGTATTCCTCAAATCCAGTAAACACGCAGACGGGACAGAGGTAAACAAACATTGCCACTTGCCTCGCTAGTTAACGATACTGGGAAGCTGCGAAGATCTTCTGTCGCAAAGAGGCCATCTCGGATCGGATTATTAATTGTCCGAGAATGAGCCTACCATAGATAATCTCATCAAGCAACAACCTCAACTCTTGAAGAGGTCTGCTGCCATCATTTTCGCTCTCCGGCTTGCTATATCCCCCAGCCATTGTCTGGTAGTGATTCCCATTGATTATTCGCCAAAAAAGTGGCCGCTGGCACGCGAGCCTAGTGCGACACCTATCCACCTTCAGATCTATATGATAGCAGAGTCTGTACCTACGACTGCCCGCAACAGACGGCTTGCTGGGCAATACGCCAACCAGCGGTTGCCGTAAGCATCATCAGTTCCTTCTACTCATTATTGGAATAACTAACTGTAAGCAGCCAGAGCCCACGTCACGTGACTGCACATGTCATATGACTAAGCTCGAACAACCACTACAAGAGCCTCTGATTTGTACTATACACAGAACACACATATGGTCATACATACTTCACACACAATATACCATCATCTTTGCTCCACTATCTATCGTGACACCTAGTCCCCACCTGCTTACACTAACTTATCTCGTGTCCACGTTATGGTGGCGAAGCCAGGCTTGACACAGGCAGTTGGCGGTCTTGGCATTCAGAGGCCAAACTGGAACCACCTCTACGCTTGAAAAGGTCCGTGTTTCTTTAATAATGCGGTCAAATCAAATCAAAAGCCTTGCAATGCATAGAACAACACATACGTTGAGGCTAGCCAGATTACACAAAATGCATAGGTAGACTGCTAGAGGAGGTAATCCAACTTAACAAGTAACATAAGTTATATAGAGAGATGTGAACGTCGGCGCAGCTTTGACCTGGCCTGGTTCTCCCCGAAGCTCCTCTCTCCTTGAAGATCATCTCTCCTCGGAAAGATTTCTCCACGGAGAGAGTCTCTCCACGAAGCCTATCTATCCTCGGCTGTTCTCTCCATGGAGAGAGCCTCTCCTTAAAGCCTCTCTCCGCTGCGGGCTTCTCTCCACGGAGAAGTTTGTCCATGGAGAGACTTTCTCCCCGAAGCCTCTCTCTCCACGAAGACTCCACGAAGAATCTCTCTCCATGACGAATCTTTCCACGAACCACCTCCCTCCTTGGCGATCTATCACCATTCCCGTGCTTGTTATCCGTGCATAATGTCTTGCTTACCCATATCCTCCAGTCAAATTCCCAGATTCAAGCATCATGAGTCTCCTTCTATCTTCTTCTCGCTCCATATGCCATGTTACTTACGTAAATTAAATGTCAGGAGTTGTAGGTATCACTGAACCAAAATCAGCCCCTCTGAGCAGTCTGAAATAGGACCCCTTTCCCCAAAAACACACTTGATCAAAATCTCCAGGGAATTCACCAGCCAGGCCTGAAATCAGGCTCATCATCAAGTCAAGATGCACGGAGGAGGCCTGTCAGCACTGGCTTATCCGTCACTATTCCTATATCCTTCTGAGCGCCCCTCGCTCTCGCTCGATTGAGATGAGCTTCCGGATTCTTCCCCCTCGCCATTTTCTGGCTGGAGGAGAGATGTAGTCAATAAGTGTTAAAGGTACAGCAAGCAAGTTGAATAGAGGGTGTATAGACGTTTAATTAAACCCAGCTAAAGATAATAAAGGGCTATGAAGAATCAGAAGATAGATTTAATAATGAATATCAGCAAAAGAAAATAGATTCTTTGGCTTAACATGAAATAAGTGACACGGAGAGGACAACGCTATAGATATAATCCAGCCATCAGCATCTCATCCAGACAGCTGAAGTTCCACTTTTGACAAAGGGCTGGGAATTGGAGCAAATATCAGCATCGTCTTTCAATTCGGTGGCTTCTACAAGCCTCTACTTATGCTATCTCTACTGTTGCTGGCGCGCCCCCTTGATCCCCGTGATCGTCACGTGGGTGCGCCCAAATAGGAAGGCCGAGATAGGTTATCTCACGAGCCATACCCTCTGGAGGATCCACCGGGCGTCGGCAATAGGTAGTACCGATTGCCGAGGAGGCTTTGCGCTGCTGCGCCACGCTCGACGAATCACTCCAGAGGGTCTAAGAGAAAATAGTACAAGCTTTAGTGTGTCTTAGCTGCAGTTATTAGGCAAAATTTCTCCACTTCACTAACGTACTTCTCTATCACAACATGCCTCTAACAGCTTACTGTTTAAACAGAAGCTTGCCTAGGGCTTAAACTATTATATGCATTTGCACTTTTAATTAAACCTCTCTCTGTACGCTGCCTAGAAGGATCTAATTAAAAGCTTATATAATTATACCTAATTACCCTCCCCTATGCAACTTAACTACTAGAGTAGCTAGAGACAAGCTAAGAGTTAGAGCTAACTAGCCTGCTTGTGTGCAACTAGCTCTAGCTCTTAGCTTGCCTCTAGCTGCTCTAGTGGTTAAGCCGCATAAGGGAGGGCGATTTAGTGCAAAGTAACTTAAAACTAGCTTTAGCAGTGTACTTTACCCCTAAATTATAAGTTTAGCTCTCTTAAAATGTAACTACTATATAGCTTAGTTATTTAAGTTTTAATTACATTTAATAAATATCTATTTTATTATGTTGTAGGTAGGAAAATGTTAAAAAAAGCTAAATGCTAAACAGAGATACATACAAATTTACTCTATTTCTCCTTAGACGCTCTGCAGACGGTTGCAAAAACGTGACATCACTAGCCACAGCGCTTTGATTGGTCCGGTTAAACCTCAGAGGAGCGTCTGACCCGTGAGATAAGAGATAGGAATAATAAGGGAAGCGAGCAAAGCAATAGAATAAGCGATAAGACACAGAACGAGCGGAACACTTATCCCTCAACAACAGCTATGCCCAAGAGGGCCTTATCCTACTGCAACAACAAAGGTGCCGGCAGTGGTGACCCACTTCTAGCGGCTCTCTCTAAAGGGGATCCCAGAACTGGAACCCCCAAGCAGATTCGCGTTGACTTGATGTTTTTCTCATCACGTATTGCGTTGCTGCTCAGATGACGAGGGGCCCAGAACCGGGACCGCGAGTGTGAGACTGAGGGAAAGCATAAGCAGCCTAAGGCAGCAAGATTCAAATATTGCTCAAGCTATACTAAATGAATACATCGGATTACTATCTTGACTTGAACAAACTTTGATTAAGGCAGGCAAGTAGCATACTATTTCTAAGCAACATTACGGTGAATTACACTAATCTGCAGCCTTTCAGCGGCTGGCCCATATGTGAGAACAGTGATATCTAACACACTAAAACTATCGAGCCTACTAGTAAGCCTAGTCTAGATCTCAATGGTATCAAATACATCGTTGATAGCCTTGTTAATATTACTCTCTGTTATGCCTTCTTTAACAAAAATATCGGCCATAACAGCATGGTGTCACGGGACCCTCCCGGGCTCCCCGTAACACCTGCCCATCAGCCCGCCTTTCGCCCGGACTCCTGGACGACTATCGTAGGAGTTTCCCCGGCGCTCTCTGTTACAGGGCCCGTCTACAAATGTCATCCGCGATTGGCCCCTGTCCAGACGAAATCCTCCTACAGAGCCCTGCTAGGAACGACATCCGCTGTCGAGCTCAGAGACTGCTGTGGCGGAAGCCACAGGGCCGCTTGGAAGGCTCTCGTAGCTGGCGCCACTCCTTTACTACCAAGCCACCGCCATCAGAGATACTATTGCCAGGAGGCCATAGCTCCTTCTAGCTCTGTCTTCTTATTATTCTTCGTCTTCACCCTTTCTCTTTCCTTCTTCACGCAACGTCTTGATTCCTCCACGCGTAGCTAGACGCCATAATAGAGACCAACTTCTTTCTATTCTTCATTCCTCTTCGCTTCCGTGACACGTACCTCCTTTCTTAGGCATATAAAACGCGGGTAATTCTAGATGTCTTTAAGTTGACTTGAGGTTCCACCAGACTAGATCGCTGCTCTTTGAGTAGCACGAAAGATGGCTTATTGCGATTCCTCATTGGACAACCAATTCAGTCCATCGGTCAATAGCTATCGCTCATCTTATCACATATAGATGACAGCGGTATCAAATACCGCTGTCATGTCCGCAACCACTAGCAGCTGGGCTGCTATCAAGGGATAATTGGCGGAAGATGACTTGCTTGTACTGTTGGAAGCCGCTTCCATAGAAGAAATAATGGAGTTGATAAATATATTCTCCAACAGCGATGGCTGGTCTTCCGCTCTGTTTTGGAGGATGATTCGCTTTTTATTTGGTTGGATGGAGTACCCTTCATTGAGTTCATTCCTCGGTCTCTTCTGGTCTTTCGGTCTCTTGCGTAAGTGGATACCATGGGCGTCCTGAAGGTAAAATTGAAGCTCGCATCTTATTAGCTTTTCTTCCAGGGCGTCGACGTGTCTGAATATGAGACTGCCACTTCAGTTTGGTTTTGAATTGATACATGCGTGTGCTGGCTGGTAGTCCTGGATTTGTGAGACAGTTATAGCAGAAACCTGGCATCGCAAGGACGCCGTTGAACACCAGAGGATCGAGGAAGACGGGGAAGTTCTCTAAATTATCGACATGGCCTTGGCAATGCACTTCCCACAACTTCAAAAACCCTGAAATGCTCTTCGGGTTTTTTTCTCTCACCATTTTCTGTCCCAAAAGAAAATTGACGTTTAGACAGAGGTGTTGGAACTTATTGTAGGCAAGATAAAGGGCTGGTGCAAAGACGTGTGGTATAACTTCTTGCTCAAGTGAAGAAAGGGATACGAAGATCCCACCTATATGATTTCGGGAGACGCCTGCCATACACCAACACACCAAGGGGCTCATCCCACGGCAACAGCAAGCCGCTGGCGATGATGAATCAAATCCCTCAACAAGGTCCCGTCGACTTGACATTTTTCTCATCGCATACGGCGTGGCGGCTCAGACGACAAGAAGGGCCCAGAAACGGGACCACGAGTGAGACTGAGCAAGAGCATGAGCAGCCTGAGGCAGTTAGATTCAAGCATGAGCAACTATGATCGAGCTTGAGTTGACCGCGAGCGAGTATGAGCAGAGCCCGAGTTGAGGCGGTGCAAGCGTAAGCTCATTGAGCCCGGGCGTATTTTTGCTGAGTCAAAGTGGTTGTATCGATGACCGGGTTGGGACGCGGGTGCGGGCACTTTGTCCCCAGTAATAGCTAAAAAATATTTAAGGTGCATCCCTGGGTGGCGGGACACCCAGTGTGGCGGGACAAATGAGGTACTTGGACTTTCAACCGCCAGAAAGACCACAAGCAAATGTAGCCTGCAAAGGCACTTACAGAAGTTCGCTAAAGCTGCTCACTTAGCCTTTTCCAATGGTCTCCTCCAGCGAGACCGAATTCAATTCTTGATGAAGATTAATGACGAAGCTCGACGGTCGACTAGAGCTGTAGTGCTTGGGACGGCGAAGGTTATGGGATTCAACGAACTTCAAGAAGCACGAGCGAAGCGTGCTGAGATAGAGGCGACTAAGAAAGCTAAAGGCAAGGCAAAGCGTGGCCGGCCGAAGAAAGCTTCGCTAGAAGAAGGACAAGCTACTGTGGGCGAGGTAAAACGTGGACGAAAACGCAAGGGTACACCAGACGCTGAAGAGCTAAGTGCGAAGGTGGCGAGGCAGAGCGAAGCACCAGTTGAGGAGAGTGTAGCATGGAGAGCTCCAGAGGCGCGCATGTGGTAGCGGATATAGAAGGTTCGGTCAACGTAATTAGTCTTAATCAAAATGTATGACTGTTTCCAAGGGCCATCCGTCGTGTCCAACACTTGCGCAGCCACAGGCTTAACAGCCACGGATGCTGACTTGCCTAACAAAGACATAATACACTCGCTTATCGTTATTGTTACAACTAGGGACCCTTGCAAGATCTTCTGGGAGGTACTGACCAGGGTGGCAACCTTGCATAATGTCGCACACTACGGCAGCCACACGGCTGATGAAGGCTACATAGCGATATAGTTAGATTCTAAATGTTAAATCATTCTAACTTTGGAAGATAGAAACGTTAATAAGCCTAACTGTAGTGCTGCAGTTTCTAGTGTCTGTTTGCTACTTGAAATAAGCTTCTCCGCAATCAGGCGCGAAGTCGACGACGTGATTGTAATTTTAGAGCTACTAATATAAGAAGTGTTCTTAAGAGGGTATAAAAGATTATGTGCTTAGAGCTTTAGAGTCTTCTAGATCTAAAGTACCTGTGATTTGTCTCGCTACAGTGTGTGTCTCGCGTCGCAGTGACTGACGTTAATTATGTTAACTAAGTTACAGTAAGCTTAATTTAGAAACAAAAAAGATCTTTCTAACCTCGCTTTCTAAACATAGTTAATCTATTAATAACACATGAGCCTAACATCCCACTCTAAAAGTTTAACAAAATGCTTTTGTTGATTGAGGATGGTTAGGGCAGAGGCTGCAGGGCAGCCCACGCCGCGTGTGCTGTTAAAGCTCTGCAAGACAATTAGACATGTTGTAGCACAGTTAAATTTGTCTTTGTCTAATTAAGCAAGAGGGTTAACGTTAAAGGTGACTAGAGTCCCTAAGAAATTTCCTAAAGCAACAGCTAAGTTTACCTTTTTAATAAATTCCTTACAGTTAGGTGGACAAGAGCATAGGAGGATTAAGATGTTATTAGCGCTAGCATAGCTACTACTTCTATTAAGGTCTTAACTAGCTGTTAAGCTAAAGTCTAGAACTAGGCTTAGATCTATAGACACAGTAGGTATTATGGAAGCAGAGATGATTGCCACTAGAAGAGTGAGAATAGTAGAAGAGCGCATTTTTAACTAGCGTGATGTAGCCCTGGAAAAGTTAGGAATAAAATATTCTTATACTTAAACTTACTAACCCTTTCTAAAAATAGTCCTGTAGTGAGGACTAAAGGGGACCACTATCTAAAGCATAGTACGGATCTCTATACTACTGTGGGCCCTGTTTTAGTACCTGTTGGGAACTGTTTAGTCCTGATCTAACTTACAGCTGCATTAATTAAAAGTTGCTTTTGGCTAGGTCTATGTCTATAGTGGTGATATATGTTTGTAAAGGCTATATTTTTAGGAACTAATTAGGCAAGCATCTAAGCTAAGTAATCCAACTAAAACAAGGCGGGGGCTTCGCTTAATCATCTACCCGATATGATCGCCCATTGCGTAGCAGCTATACTGGACTCTGTGGTAAAAGGTTTACTTAAGGCACCTAAAGAGTACTCTCCCTGTTTAAACGCATTATCTTCCTTTCTATAGCAAATCCTCTTAAAATGTCTGTAGAAAGCCTTATAATGTAGACGTTTGTAGTAAATGATTTTGCGCAGCGGCTCTAACATTTGTTTTAAGGACTAAACTATCTCTTTATCTGCAATAACACTTAGCTCTACTGTAAGAATTACATGTTAGACGTAGGGAAACGCTTCTACTGTATGCTGTATAGATTCTACAACATCTAAGCGCTTACGCTAAGAATAACATTAGTCTTTATCTAAATTAGCGTTTACTACTTATTTTAAAGTTACTTACTTACTTTAGGATAGCACACAAAATTTATCTTAGATTTAAACAGAGAGAGAGTGTGCTGCTTTTTTTTACTACTCTAGCACACTTTTTATTACTATGTTAATGCTTGTCTTGTCTAGATTAACCCTAACAAGGCTAAGTTTGTCTGCGCTGCTGCATATGCTAAGGCGGTTAATAATATCTTCTATGCGCCTTTAGACTCTAGAGATACTAACTAGTCTAATATAGACATATTATAGTTATCTTAGTCACATAATATTAGAGGTGTATAGTGTACTTATAAGTTAGTCTAATTTGTCTATTTATTCTAGCTATGTAATGCTATTATATAGCTTTATAGTAGTCTACGTACATAGAAACTACTATAAGAAACCTAACCTAAGCTAACTACCTCTACTCTTAAACTAATCTATTTACCTGTGCTGCAGCTTAGCAAAGACACTAGCCTAGGCATAATTTACATAGAATAAGATAGAAGGTAACATCTTCTAGAGGAACTAACTTGCAAGACTAGCTGCTGCAGTCTGCAGGCCCTTTATAAGCTTACAGAGCTGCCTAGAGCCCTAGAGGAGGGCAATGTTAGGATCCTTAGCCTCTACTATAGCCTAGTAGAGGCGACTGCGGCATTAGAGCTTACTTATTTTATATGCAGCCCTCTAGGCCTAGAGCTGTTAAGCGCTTATCTAGTGTAACTTTTTAAGCAGTAGAGATAAAAGTATGTGCTTTAGACTAAACATGTTACTTTTACTAATATTACTATATTACTTAACATATATTTAGACTATTACAGCTATATTTTTTACTTACTTACACTTTTTAGTTTAGATAAAGTTTAGTAAGATTTAAGTAGTAATAATAACTTTAAGTTAGGCTACTAGCTTTTCTTTAGTAAGTAGCTAAAGTAAATTTTTTAGATTATACTTAATAATAAAGACATATCTAAAGGCCTTAGTAGTGTTAGGTTTAAACTATATAGCAGAATTATAAAAAAAGTAGAGAGACATAGTAAGAATAAGGCAGCTACTAGGCGCTAGCACCTTTTTCTAGGTCTAGAGGGCTTGTTAATAATAGGCAGGCGTAATAGTGTTAAAGAAGTAGATAGTAAAAATAATATTAAACTTAATAAGGCAGCTAACATATACTATAATAAAGTTTAAAAGGTCTCTCTATATAACACTAGCTTTAAAAAGGAACACCTTTTAGTTATTCTAGCTAGCTAGAGCGCGTGTAAGCTTTTTACATGTAAGGCGCGCAAAGACGTTAATATTAAGAAAGCCTTATACTATGTCTACGCCTACGCAGACGCTATTACCTACTGTAAGCTTTATAGTAATAATAGCTCTTTTAGCGCTAGTGCTAAAGTTAAGTATATTCTTATTAGCCTTTAAGTAGGCTATTACTAGTGTAGTAAAGGTATTATAGAGCACTGCTAGGGGAGTTACGCTGGTCTAACTGTAGACTGTAACACGCTGCCCCTCCTCCCTAGCAGCGTCCTTGCTGCTCTACTTACATGTCACGATTGTGCACGAGTAAGGTTATAGAGCTTCACAGAGGTCTAGTTTAATTACTACGTGAGGTATCATAGTAGGTACAAGACATTGTGTGAGAAATAAAAAAGTTTAGAAGGAAATTAGTAATTAAATACTTAGCTTAAAAGTCTAAGCACTTTAAGTATAAATTAAGCCTATTCTAGGTTTAGTTAGTGTTAAAGTAGTTTATGCTTAAGTTTATGTCTATGTTATGTTGTATTTATGTTAGATGTGCACTAATAATACTCTAGTACACGTCTAATATAGTTATGTCTAGGATCTAGAGAGAATACTGTAACAGTACTCCCCCTCTTATTAGAAAGGGAATCCTTTACATTAGTAGTTCTAGCATTAAGTTGTCTTTATTAGAGTATAAGTTTAGTTTAGATAGGTATTAAGCGTAGAATTAAGTTACTATAAAGTTCTCTTATAAGGCTTCTATAAGTTCTTATAATAGTTTATTATATTTAGTTTATTTTATAAAGTATTTATAAATATGTTTTTTTTTATTAAACTAGATTTATTTAACATCTTTTATAACATATTTTAGTTTGTTGTTTATAATAATAGGTTTAAGTAGCAGGTTTAGCTATTTAAGTAAATAGTTAAATTTAAAGGCTACTTAGCGCAGTAATAATATGTAGAACACAGGGTGTATCTTTATGCTGTTAGGTAGGATTAATTAGTAAGTGTGTAATAAAACTATATAGGCTACTATAAAGGGGCTAAGGTTCTTTTAATTAAGTTTCTTTAATTATTAGTTTATTTAGATATTTCTAGTGTCTAGCTAGACCTTCTTGCTAGCTGTATACGCAGAGGTAGGGGTTTAAAATTAGTTTATGTACTTTTATTAAAAAGCTTAAGCTTATGTAAGCTTTTTATAAATATATTTAAATATATTTTAGATCTTATTAATAAGTCTATTTATATTTATTACTTATATAAATTAATAAGTTAGTTAGAGGGTATTTATAAGTAGTTTAAATTCTATTTAAGAGTAGTATCTATAGTTTACTAAAAATAAAGATACTTATGTTAATTTAGATATTATGTTATTAGCTTTAAACTATGCTATAGCTAACTATTTTACCTAGTTATTTTACTAGTAGTTTATGTACACTTATAGAACTTATTTTATTATAGTGTTTATGTTTTTAGTCTAGCTATTAGTCTCTAGGTAAAAAGCTGTAAATAGATAAAAGATAATTTAGAGCTGTTTACAGAGTTTGTCCTAGAAGGCTAAGACAAACTATGTACCTCTGTCTAATATAATTATGTTAGGCAGGCTATAGTAAACCTATATGTATTAGTAGAATAACTAGGCTATATTAGGGGCAGTTATAGAGGAATATAGTATTAAGTGTTAATACTTAGTTAAGTAATTAATAACTACTATAATATTTATATACCCTTTAGATAAGAGTAGGTTTATAATAAAATTAATTAATATGTCTTTCTAAGCTTATTTAAAAATTAGGAGTAGTTTAAGCAGGCTATTATACCTTTCTTAAAAGGCCTTTACTTTACAGTAAGTATAGCAACATAATATATATTAGCGTACAGTATAGAACATGCGGGGCTAGTAGTACTCTCTTTATAGTAGGTTAAGAGTCTTTTCTTTGCCTAGGTGTCCTCTAACAGGCAAGTTGTG